CTACAAGTAGCGTACAATAAAAAACAGTGGAAAGGAAGACTTGAAGAGGCTTATGTTCAGATGTGGACGTAAAAGGCGAGACGAAGAAGAAGAAGAAGAAACGGGGATTTTTATTGGACAGTTGGTCAAAAAGAAGTCCGTGCTCGCGTTCAAAATTGTATCGCACGGAGATAAATTATTAAGTGTAAAATAAATTAGTAGTAATAAAGACTTTGATAAATTTGTGAGTGTTATAAATATTGAACCTTTAGTAAATTAAAATAAGAACAATAAATTAGAATTAATAAAGACTTTACAATACAATGCTACTTATAAAACGTCTTTAACCCTTTGTTTCCAACTGGTTTTGCTGTGAAACCACATACAAATAATTTTTTGCTACGTCAAGTACGAAATCACTACATAAGTTTAGCTATGTCTACAGATCGGTTTGCTGGGCATCTAGAAAACGTGCATTTAGCAGATAATTAGGTGATGCCTGGTCGCAACTCGCCAAATTATGACAAGTTGTACAAAAATCGTCCTTTATTTGATACTTTATCTAAAGCGTTTCATATGGCCCTTTAAAACATCAATTCATTGATTCGTTTTAACGGTCGTAGTTGTCTAAAGCAATTTACACCTCTAAACCCCCTTAAGTGGGTTATAAAGTTTGGGTCCGATCTGACAAGAATGGATATGTTTGCCAATTGCAAATATATGTGGGAAAAACTATTGATCAACCTGAAAAAGATTTGGGCCAAATAGTTATCTTAGATTTGACTCTAGATTTTATGGCAAAAGGATATCACGTTTTTTTTGATAACTTTTTTAGCTCTGTGCTCGTACAAAAAACACTTCAAGCAGAATGTATTTATGCGTGCGGTCCTGTCAGGACTAACCGAAAAGATATCTCAAAAGACTTAGCATCTGACAAAAAATTACACATCCGAGGACAATAGGACTGGATGGTCAGCAAAGGTGTTTGGGCAGGAGGTGTTTGTAGATTGGAGAGGCCAAAAAATAGTGCATTTTTTGGGAAATTATCAAAACCTTCGGAAGAAGCAACTGTTTCCCACAAGCAAAAAGACGGAAATTGACAAATCGTGTCCAAAGATGTTATGCTTGCGAGACCCCGCTAATGGTAAAACACCTTCTAGTGGAGTGTCCGTTACATAGTGCGGAAAGATGTAAATTGAGAGAACGATTCTTAAAGTACGGTGCCAAAGTGATTATTACAAAATATAGTTGTAACGCTATTCAATTATTGTTAATAATTTTTCTTTTTTCTCTAATAGCCTTACTGCTCAGCATATTCAGCTCAGCATATTTACAACACCGTTGAATTTAGCGATATAAAAGTTACTTACTACCTTTTTATCAAAAAATTTTTAAAAATATTATGGGAATATATTTTTTTTGCTGATATACGAAATATGGGGGTATGTTGTGAGTAAACCTGAGAGAGAGCTACTGGTTAAATGTTTCAAAGGTTAGTGCAAGTTAGCAGATATCAAAGGGCATGTTGTTAACTAATTTTGAAGAAATATTCATGAATGTTTTTTATATACAGCGTGTTTCAAAAACGTATGTCATAAATTAAATCACGCATTCCGGGGACAAAAATAAATTGATTTAATCCAACTTAACTTAGTACAAAAGTGTACACAAAAAAAGTTACAGCCCTTTGAAGTTACAAAATAAAAATTGTTTTTTTACATTATCTCCTACATTATTTGACATTTTGTAATAAAAATGGACACGTTACTTTCTTGTTTTGAAAGCATTTTTCATAAAAAAGAAACAACAAAATCTAAGCGCACAGAAAAATTTTAAGGGGGGTGTGCAGCCGTAAATCCCCCCAAACTTTTGAGTACGTTTAAATCAAATGAATTTTGTGGCATCATTAGTTTAACACATTTACCGTAAAACGGGGTTACATTGAACCCGAGGGTTACATTGAACAGTTTTGCAATGAAGGTTATATTTTTCTACAAGTTGGCCTAAACTTTTTTTTTGGGGCCGATATATTTTTTTGAGGGTTGCAAATATGTTTTTCTTGGACTTCCTGATAAAATTTCTGGCAGGTTCTCAAAATTAACAAAAATGAAATAAAAAATGGTTTCTGAAATAAAAGGTAGTAAAAAAAAATCTCTCAAACTTTGGTCTGCAGCCGGCGATATGCAAAAGATATCTTCTCATGACTAATTTTACACGATACTAGTACCTATTTGAACCTTATTCTACATAATACCGTAAATGATTAGGGTTTTGAATATTTTTAATTAATTTATACAAAAAATATGTCAATTATTTTGGGAACGTGGGGTAACATTGAACGGCAGGATTGAACGTGCTTGATTTTGAATTTGAATGAAATTCACTCAGCTCAGAGCTCAGTATAACATTGGTTGGCTTGGCGGTAGGAACATTGTGTGGTTGGGAAATTCAGTTGTGGTGCAATAGGTAGTGTAGTGAGATAATATCAGTCCAAAATGCGTGATTACGTTAGAAAGTTGGGTAGTCGATCATACAAAAATTACACCTCTGATACTTTGGATCAAGCAATCCGCGAAATTAAAACAAAACAGTTATCACTTTCCAAGGCGTCGAAGAAATACAAAATCCCAAAAGTAACATTAAGTCACAAACTGAACAACAAAAAAATGAAGGACGTCGGAAGGCCCACAGTTTTAAACAACGACGAAGAAAAGGCACTGGTCAAGATGCTTTTGAAAACCGCTGAATGGGGCTTTCCTTTGACTCACGACGATTTACGACATGTTATGAAAAACCGTTTGGATACAATGGGTAAGAGAGTTAAGCAGTTTAAAAATAATTTGCCTGGTATCGACTGGATTAAAGGTTTTCTGAAAAGAAACAGAGAAATAAGTGTAAGAAAATCTCAAAATATAAACCCAAATAGAGCATTTTCCACTAGAGAAGTTTTCATTACTTATTTTGATAACCTTGAGCAATGTCTAGACGGAGTTTCCCCCGATTGTATATACAATTTCGATGAGACAAATTTATCGGATGATCCTGGGTCTGCAAGATGCTTTTTTAAAAGAGGGGTGAAATACCCAGAACGTTTATTATCTCAATCAAAATCAAACATTTCTTTGATGTTTTGTGGAAGCACTTCAGGAGTTCTGCTGCCTCTGTATGTAGTCTACAAAGCAGAAAACCTTTGGACAACTTCGACGGAAGGAGGACCCGATAAAACCAGATACAACCGAACAGCTCATGGATGGTTCGATTCTGCAATATTTTTAAATTGGTTTACTTCTGTTTTCCTTTATTCCACGAGACATGAAGGAGTCAAAGTATTAATCGGGGATAACTTGGCGAGCCATTTTTCTGAGCAAATTATCAGACTGTCGGTTGAAAATAATATTCGATTCATATTACCGCCGAATACTACGCATATCGCTCAACCCCTGGATGTCGCGGTGTTCGCACCACTGAAGAAACAATGGCGTGCAATACTCAGCGATTATAAGTTAGCAACGGGATCAACTGGTCTTCCAAAGGAGATCTGAGACCAAAACATTTAAAAAAGCTGATGTTAAAATTCGCAGAAACTGGTAAACAAAACCTTCAAAGTGGTTTTCGGGCAACGGGTATATACCCTTTGGACAGAAATCAAATATTAAAGAAATTGCCTGGTACTGATGATACTGAATCAAATGAAAGTTTTGGAAACAGTTTAAACGACACAGTTTTACAATTTCTACAGGGTATTAGGAACAAAAAAAAAGCTAGAACTCAAAGAAAAAAGAAAGTTAACATCGCACGGGTAAAAGCATTGGATTGGAAGATTTTGAAATAGGAGAAAGTTCTGGATGTTCTGCACCACCCACGAAGAATAAGAAAAAGTCTGCTAAGGAATTGGATAGTGACAGTTCCGACTACGAACTAGAGCTTCAGGACGAATCTGATTGTGATTTCGAGACATTTTGTGATGAAATGCACCAAGAAAAGAACGAGGAGATCGAAAGGCCAACAGGGGCTGCAGTCGTCGACGATTATGTGCTCGTGATATTCGCAACCAAAAAGATCTTGAAATTTTTCGTTGGTCTTATAAAAGAAAAACTGCCTGATGGAGATTATGTGGTCAAGTTCCTGAGAATTACGAAGAATTTTGCCTGTGTAAAAGAATTTAAAGTTTAATAAAAAGAATGTAAAAAAATATTTTGTCAATAAATATAACCATTGAGAAAAAAAAACCAAACAAAACTCTCCCCACTAGTTTTTTTCCGCTTGTTTCACTGGCTGGGTTAAATTGAACGAATAACTAACCTGTGGGCTCGTAGTCAGCGATTTATACTACTGTTCAATGTTACCCCGAACCCGGGGTAAAATTGAACAGCAACTTTTTTATAGCTATTTTTACATAGCTACGCCCAAGAGATAATCTAACGTATGTAAAGTCATGCTTCTATAGTGACCCATAAGTGGTATTTTTTATTCGATTGAGCAACAGATACAAAACTTATTCAACAAAATATGAAGAAAATGTTCAATGTAACCCCTTTTTACGGTACTTATTTTTAAAATTTTTGCCTCTTCACACTTTTTTCAAAAAACAGTTTTTATTGAGTTACGGCCCTTTTATATGCAAATAATGCAAAAATGCAAAAAAAACTATTTTTATTTTGTAACTTCAAAGGGCAGAAACTTTTTTTGTGTACACTTTTGTACTAAGGAAAGTTGGATTAAATCAATTTATTTTTGTCCCCGGAATGCGTGATCTAATTTATGACATACCTTTTTGAAACACCCTGTATAATAAATTTAAAATTCTAGTTCTTATATCAAAATTCATCAAATATACCTAAAGATCTTTCTGGGATCGAATATAGAAACATCCTGTAGAAATGGACTAAGTGAATTAAGTAAGGCAAAACTATTAAAATTTAAATTTGAATAAAAATAATTGATTAAACTGTATCGTAAAATACACGATTTTCTTGTGAATGATTACTCAACTGGATTTCACGGTATTGTGTTCTCAACTTTCACCATGGTACTAATTTATTGATGTTTATGGAATCTCTACTCACCTCTGCTGTCAAAATTCCCCGAACTGTTATTCCAACTTGTGGTTCAATTTTTACAGTCACACCAGGTTCAATTACTAATTCGGCGCCAAATTCAACTATGAGGTCATTTCTTAACCAATAAGGACTTTGAGATTTACTAAAAACTATTTTATCATTTATAACAGTCCCGCCAGGATGTTCCGTCAAAGTATCGCGTTCAGCAGTACTTGGTTGTAAGTAAACAAATTTAAAACAAGACAATAACGCCAAAGGCAATAACGTCCTTTTGAATTTACACATTTTGAATCAATCGCTGAGCACTATCATATCACTAAATTGGTTAAAAGTTTAAAAATCACTTTGTTGTTTGTTTCTATTTACGAAAAATCACAGATTCTTGAACACAAACAATGCTTCGCAACGGTGTTATTTCGAAATACTTTGCATTCTTCACCACTGCATCAGACGTATTTTCTTATGATAAAATTTGATCCTGTCACCTACCAAAAAACTTAAATCACAATCTTATTTGATCACAAAAACATTATATCGACGATTAAAAAGCCCCTTTGTGCTGCACTTTCCGTTCGTTATTGTTGCACTTTAGGGGAGGACGGAAGGTGCGGTTATACTAGTTTTTTACGTTAAAAACTTCTGTCACGTGACGTAATGCAGCCAGGTAACCCCCACTCACCTGTGGGCCAGGTAGAGTGGTAGAACAGGTGTGATTGTATTTTGTTTCTCCGCTAGAGAGCGATATGTACCGGTCAGAGTTCTAGCGATCTGTATCGCCGCATTGCAACTGTTCACCAAACGCAACTTGAAAATTTCTTGACTTACCGTGCGTTGTCTTTAATATTATTTCACTGGCGCAATGGCCCGGCACTTAATTTGGCGTAGGTAGAAACTAATTAGGAGGTAATTGACGTTAATACTACCGAGATCAACTACTTACTATAAGTTTAGCGAAATATTTTTAGATTAGAAAGTTTTATTTGTTCATTATCAAATTCGAGTTATATTATCTCTACTTAACTTGTTTGCTTTATTAGCAACCTTTTTATTTCATAAATTGATGATTCAATATCGATCCTAAATATAAAATTCCATTATCTCCTGTTTAGGAGATAACAGGTACTTATTTGTCCCAGATAAGTTTTTTTATTAATTGTTCTGGGAGTAAAAGCACAGTTAGTGTAATATTTTTTTAATATAACGTTTCTACATTAATTTAACAGACTCAATAACCTACATTCACTCTTAAGAATTTTGTACCTAACTTTGAACTATATAAACTGTTTACGAGAGAAAGAGGTTGATGTTTTTTATTTTTAAAAATAAATTATTCGGCATTTTTAAAAGTCTAACAGAAAGGTGCTTCATTATATTATATTCAAAAGGGAGAATTATCTCTTATAGAGTGATGCAAACTTACGCAACTTTCCTTCTCCTTCTTTTGGTGCCCAAGCTCTTTGGATGTTGGCAATCACGTTGGTATATACAACTTTGTTGACAGCTGCTCTAAATAGATGTATCGTAGTCATTCCTACCTACTTTCTGCGCCTTTGAGATATTTTGCCTTCTACCTTGCCTTGTAAAATTAATTGAATTAGTTGATACTTCTCATTGCACATCGCATGCCCTAAGTATGTCATCTTTCTGATTTTCACGATACGCATAATTTCCAGATCTTTATTTATACGTTGGATAACGGTATTTTTTGTAACATGATCGATATAGGAAATTCTGAGCATGCGGCGGTTGCACCACATTTCGAAGGCTTCTAATCGTTTGGATGTTGCCTCCGTCAAGGTCCAGGCTTCGACTCCATAATATAAAAGGGTAGAAAATACATAGCATTTCAAGACTCGTGTTCTTATACCAATGTGTCGTCTTTTTGTGGAAAATAAGGGGTCTAAAACCCTTAAAAACCACGCAAAACGCTCTCTTGATGTCACCTTGTCTTGACAAAGACAAGGTAAAGTAAAACACACCACTCCTAGGGTTAAGATAAAACAATTGGTACAGTCGAACAGTATCGCAGAATCCTGAGAACATCATGGACCGAGAGAGTCACAAATGTCGAGGTCTTGAAAAGAATGAATAAAGAAAAGGAAGTCATATTTACTAATAATAATATAAAAATAAAGGTCTTTATTTTTCCTTCAAATTCATACAATATACAAAATATATAAAATTATATATGCATATAATACAATAAGAAAGAAAAAATGCCGAATATCAGGTGGTGCTGATTTCAAGAAAATATTTCAAGAGAAAAAAAAAATAATATTTTTTTTACATGGTCTGTAACAATCAAACAAAAACCATAACTAATAGAAACATTTAGCATTTAAATATTTTCCAAGAACTATCACACAGTTTATTCATTTTTCATAACAGGTCATCAAATAGTTGCACATGTTTTAGTCACTTAGCAATTTAGATTTAAGAGATTTTTTTAAAAGATATAATCGATTTTAATTTTAATTATTTAGCTAATCCGTTATATACTTTTGATATTTGATACGTAAATGAATTTTTGAATTGTTCTGTGCGATGTGGCGGAGCTGTAATTGTATTTTTGTATTGAGATTATGTATGTCAGTTCTGTATATAATTTTTTCAAAAAGATATGCTGGAAGAGAGTTTTTGATAATTTTGTGGAAAAGACAATCAGCATGTAGAAATCTTCTCTTTTCCATACTCAACCGTTTTACATGTTTTAATTTGTGAGAAATAGGCTGGTGTCTTCTTACACCACAGATCAGACGAAGACACGAATTTTGAACCACCTCAATTCTTCTCCTGTCATCTGAACTAATACAAGGCCCATACACAACATCTCCATAGGTAAATTTTGATTTACGATCAAAAAACGAAAACTGCAATACTTGGGAGATATTACAAGAGGCGAAAGATATGAACTTCTTCGAATAATTATGCAAGGGAAACTAGCAGGAAAAAGGTCCATAGGAAGAAGACGAAACTCCTGGCTAAAGAATCTACGTGAATGGTATAGCTGTAGCAACAACGAATTGTTTCGGTCAGCAGTTTCGAAAATACGTATAGCCTTGATGATCGTCAACCTTCGGAACGAAGATGGCACTTGAAGAAGAAGAAGACAGTCGAACGAAACTCAACCACAGAGTCTGAGAAAAACAATAAGCAGAGCCCCTAAAGCGCTATGCTCTAGGTGAGCCCGAGAAGGACTGACCTGGCTCGCTATAAATAAAAATAAAATAAAAATAAAAACGTTTATTACCATTTTAAAGTTACATTTCAAATTGTTAATATTTCATGTTCTTCTTCTCGACGTCCCGTTCTTGCACCACCTGATGTTGATCATTTTTCCTCTTGGATTCCTGGACTTCTGCTGGTGGCATTGGTACTTTTTGTTGCATCGTACCTACTTCCCTCGTTGGCTGTTCTTCGGCAACCAGACCGAAATTGGAAAAAGGTGTGCATTATTGCACTATCCGTTTCCTGGCAGAAATGAACAAGGCGGTCTCTATCATTTCGCGTTCCTAGTCCAAAATCTCCCACAGTATTTTCAACACCTCCTTTGCCTACTTTGGCGTTGAAATCTCCTACCGGATATTCAGTTCTTGTTTATTGGTATATTCTAGGTATTCTTTCAATCGTTCATAGAATATTTCTATTTCCTGCTCTGTGCTTTCCGAAGTTGGAGCATATGCTTGAATAATGTTAACTGGTTTAAAATTAATTCCAACTTTCCATTTAAGTCCAAAACACAATAGAGTAATAAAGATTAAATATTGTTTGAAATGCATTGCATAGAAAAGGCTATAAAGTCATTTCTTGGTGCATGTTTTCAGACATCATCATTTCAAAAATATGATGGAACTTTTTTTTATCAGCAGTCGTTCAAAATAATTTTTCTACGTTAAGATCCGTCCAGTGTCTTATGTTATGAAACCAATATTTCTTACGTCCAATTGTCTTCCTGAATAATAAGTCACAGTAGTTGGCATTTAGTATAGAATAATAAGTCACAGTAGCAGTTGAATCAGCTGTAGCCCAAATGAGTGTCCTTGGACCTGTGCTTTACCTACTATACACCATGGATTTCCCTGAAGCACACTCAATGATAGTAGGTACATTCACGGATAATACTGTCACGCGGATGTGATTAGGATCACATCAAAATGTGACTACTGATACAAAAAAACCTACAAAATTGACTCAAACTTTGACTAAATCCAAGTATGTAAATTAATATTAAAATTTTCTCCAATGAGAAAATACCTACATGTCGTAATCAATATTAGTCAAAAAATTTTACTTATTGTTCGTAACTTAGAACAGATTGTAAATAAAGTGGAGACAAAAAAATCTAGACCGCTCCGTGCGTGACCATGGTAGGGATACATTGAAACGATGCCAGCGTGCGTAGCGGCGAAATATGACAAAATTGGAATATTGGACAAAATATTTTTACGCATAAATTTTATCAAAAATGTGTGCAAATACATGTTGCGTATTTAATTGTGCTAATAATAGCAAAAACAGTGAGTGTAGTTTTTATAGGTTCCCAAAGATTACTTATAAATTAGAGAAAAGAAAAAGATGAATTCGTGCTATTAATATGAAAAAGTAAATATCACATAATTTCATTTTTATGCAATTGAAATAGGAAAAATTTAAATAATTTACCTTGAATGATATTTCATAAGGCTTTAAGCTAACTGCAGATGACTTTAGCTTTTATATCATAACTTTTACTATTATTGTTTTTAATTATATGCTCTTTTGCGTGAAAAACTTAATTTGCCAGTACTAGATTTTTCCCTTTCTTTTCCGTTTGGAGTTGAAAAGATATATTATGATCCCCAGTTTTTAATACTACATTTATTTTGTACATAAACTGAAAAAATATAGTTAAAAAATTAATTTATTAATAATTGTCAATTTCGCATGTATTTAACAATGTCAAACATATGTCATATGTTTAACCTGAAAATTGGGACTCCAAAATTGTGAGATGAAGGCGGTAGGTGTCGCGTCAGTCACGCACGGAGCGAATAGCGTAAATTCAACATTAACTAACTGATGGATTGAGCAGATTTTAAGTTAAATTTTGTGTGAACTAAAAGATCCTCTTTAGCTATTGTAGAACTAGTCAATCTAGTTATTGATGCATTTAGATTGAAATTATGTTCCCAGAATACGATAATGACTTACTGTAATATTTATGATAATAAGATATTAATAATAAGATGCCGCATTGAAATTGCGCGGTCAACTTTTAATAGAATGAGAAAACTTTATTGTAATCG